GTCTCCCTTCAGAATCTGTTTCCTGTTTCTGTCATTGCTCCAGAAGCAAATGGCCAGCCTTTACCAGTTCACTGCTTCAGTTTGAATGCAGTATGTTCCTTTATGTCAAATGCAGTTCATGTGTTTATTTTTAACAACAGATAGTATGTTTTTTCCTCTTAATCCATTTGTTATACCTAAGTGGTCTGATATTTTTTCAGACCTGTGTTCTCTGTGTTTGGCACTTATCAGCCCTACCTTCTCATTGTATCTTGAAGTTGTTGCTGCATCCCAGCTGGGCAAAATCCTGTTAATTTTTCTAGAAATGGAAGCACGAGTGGTTAGTCTGAGAGAGGAATGAGCCTTCAAAGCCTGTATGAATGATCTTGTCCCTGACAAATCATTTTCTTGTGCTCCTTTTCCAGCAGTGCTGCTCACCCAGCTGTGACCAGAGGCCTCAGCAGGGCTGCTGGCTGGCACTATTGAGAATGGCACTTTATTTACATTGGAGGTAGAGGCAGAGCTGGGTTTGGGAGCCAGCAGCTTGTATATATTCCTATATATTCAGCCCCACTTTGCCTTGTTTGGGTGACTGCTTTTCAAGCTGTGCACATTCAGCACCTCTGAGAATGAAGCCCTGAAAGTCTCGTACCAGATAACTGTAAGCTGAGACTCGCAAGATCAGTGGATGTATCTTTCTCTGCCGTTCCCACTGAGGGAGATCTTGGTTAACAAACTTTTCCTTCTTCTGAACATGCCAGTTTCATATGCCTTTTACCATGTCCTCCTTGTTTCTTAGGTACACCAGCCTCCTGATACCAGAAGCCTGGTCCAGCAGACAGATGACCTTTTAACTCAACTGTCTGAGGAAGTTGCCATTGATGAGCATTACAGACCAAAAGTCCAGCCTCAAGGTATCTATTTTGGCTTACAAAGACCTTTTTCTGTCTAATGATGTATGTGCTATAGTAAGAAGGGAATATGTGCATTCCTGATTAGCTTACAGGTGAGCTGGGTGTCCAGTTTGTCCTTATCTCCCTGGTAGGACTCCCAAATTGACCAAGAGCAGCCACCGAGCTCCATACTGGGTCTCATTGTCTCTCTTTGGAGATGGTTCCTTCTTCTCAGGGTTATTGCTCCTCTCTGTTTCTCTAAGGTGACCCTTCCCTGAGGAGGAGCTGTTGCTACTCCTAGCACACCTGTGCTCTGTAACAAGACATTGGAACCTGGGATACCATTTACCTTCCTAGCTGCCGTGCTTTCTCTCTCTCTGAGGTGTTTAATCTCACTGTAAAACACAGATTAGCTCACTTTCTTCTTTTCATGTACAGTGCAGATCCTACTGTGGCCTGCCTTCTCCCATTATTACCCGGATTAATAGAGAGCAGCCAGCTGCTCTCATACCATTGCTTTAGTCATGTCTGTGCCCAAGCAACGTCCTGCTGTGTCACCAGCGTGTTCTGTGTGTCTGTCTGCAGCTGTTGGCAGCCAAAGATTGAATGATCTCAATCGGGAAAGTGAAGATTGTGTTTGCCCTGCAAATCTGGACCCAAAACAGCTAGAGGAAGAGAAGAATAAACTTCTGGCAGAAGCTGCTGCTGAACTGCGGGAAGAGAACACGAGGCAGGAAAAGGTCCTACAAGTGGCCAAGAGACTGGCAGCACTCAGAGGCGAGGACCCTGAGAAAGGTGGGTAGCAGGTGAGAACACAGTGCTAGGAGAGGAACAGCGTTCCTGTGACAGAGTAATTTCTTTTCCAAGAGGCTTTTATGCATTTAATTCCTCTGCTCTGCAAGAAGCAGACTGAGACTTGTTTCTGTCTGTTAAGTTGGTTCAGGGGGAGAACTTTAGAGTAGTAGGGGAGAACTTTAGAGTAGGGTAGATGGTTGGACTCGATGATCCCAAGGGTCTCTTCCAGCCTAGATGATTCTGTGATTCTGTGATCATGAAATCAGTACAAAAGATCTTAGTTGAAGGTAGAGGCCAGAGCTGTAAGGTCCAACTGCTTTGTCTTTCACCCTTCTTTGAGATAATTCTAGCATACTCTGGAAAGGTTAACAAAGCTTTTAAAATCACAGCTCTGGTTTTGGTGGGTTTTTTTTCCTTCCCTCTTCCAGTATTAGAAACAAACAGTAACACCCTTTTTGAGGAGTGTCCATCTGAAAGGGATCTGTCTCTGCCACAGGCAGAATGTCAAAACCAGCTCACACCACAGGGGATTGTCTCTGGCACCTAAGTGGGCACAAGGTTTGAGGCAGGTGTGGGTCACAGTCTCCTGTCTCTTACTCCTGCAGTTACACTGGAAGCCTATAAACTTCCTGACAGCGATGAGGAAGTTGCTGAGGAGGAAGCCATTCGCAGAGTGCTACAACAGGTGAGAAGTGGCAGCTGTGGCCTTGTTTGTCTTCCTCTCAGTTATTCCCAGTGTGTATGTTACCTGGTGAGCATGCAAAGGATGCGTTTCTGTTCCTGAGCAGAGTTTCATTCCTCCCCCTCCTAGTGTTTTTCCAATACTTGCTCCCATGGGCCATTCAGTTACAGGCTGTTGACAAACGTGACTTCTAGTCTGTCACACAGTCTTTCTCATTCAGGCTTAGTGTCTCTTGTGGCGTGTGTCTCCTCTTCAACCCCACTCTGTGGGTACTTCCTTACTTGTTTCATCTTTTCCCTGACCCATAGATGAGATGTCTGCTGTTTTAGTGGAGCTTATACCTAGATTTTTCTCTGAAATTGCTACGTGTTGTCTTGCAAGCAGACACGAGTATTCTGTGCTTAAATTTCTGCCTGATTGCAGACCACATGTGTGTGATTATCATGATGTTGAGGGTCTGCTGCTAGCTGTGCTAGCTGAAGGCCCCTGCTGCTGCACTGGCTGTTCACAATGTGCAGACAGAACAAGCTCACATCTGGCTGGATACCACCAGATGTATCCAGACTTGTCATCTCCTGCTACTGCATGAGAGCAAGGAGAAGGGCAGGAGGTTTAGAGCCTAGAATGAGGCTCCCAACTGTGTTTGAAACAAGAGGCTTCTTGCTTTCTTTTGACACCAGCTCACAGAGGAAGCAGCCCTGGATGAAGCAAGTGGATTCAACATTCCTCCAGATCAGACCACCCAACCAGGACCCTCGCAACAGAAGCTGCATAAGAAAGCAAAGCAAAAGGTCAGTGAGCTGGTCAGGATCTCTTGAAATTACATGTTCCAGGATCAAAGGAGAGCACAGTTGTGCAGCAAAAGTTTGCTGTATCCTAGGATTAATGCAGGAAAAAAAAAAACCAACCAGCTTCTTCAGAGCAGACAGAGTGGCTTCTGCAAGGCTGACCAGCCCTGAGCACAGCTGTGAGCACGTCCTTTACTTTTAAAAGGAATTGCTCCCTGGGATACAATTCCTTTCAAGCTGGCTTTCTGCTGACTGGGATGGTGTCCTCTAAACCCAGAAAAGTTAGCGTAGACCTCACAAGGTGGGTATTGGAGAAGGGATTTTTGACTCACCAGTATAATTAGACCAAGAAGGCCAATGTCTAGTGCTGTGCACCCTGAACCAGGGTAAGTGGGAGGTTTGCCAGTGCTTTCAGCATGTGCAGAATAAACCTCTTGATAGTAATCAACTGTCTGTGTTCTCATATAACGTCAGAGGAAGGAATTAGTAACAAGATAGCGTATGCTCAGAATGGATTCCAGCCTATTATGGAAATACATACACCTTCTGTAATGTATATTACAAGAATTAAAAGGACCTGTGACTCACAGACACCTGACAGGCCTGGCCCCAGTGGAAGAAATTATTTAATTGTGAGCATTATTGAAAGCATCCATTTCCTAGGTATGCCACCTTGCGCTTCTGGGATTACTGATGTAAAAGATAGTGCCATCTTATTGCTGTTGTGATAGGAAGCTGCCTCTGTCGGTGGCCAGGCACTGTGTCCCAATGTGTGTATGGCTGTTTAGTTCCACAAGAGTTCTTTGTAAAGCAGCAGGATGGGCTTATGGGTAGATTTTTAGATTATGATTTCAGAAGATCTTTTTCGGCCCAACCTCAGGTGCAAATCTGGTACCTGATCTGGTACCAAAAGGTAGGGGCCTTTTGGCAAATTCCTTTGTCCCCCAGTTTTCTTTCTATAGCAGAGGGAAAACAATCCACCCTGCACCTCCTCATTGCTTTCCCTGCCCACGTAACTGCTTTCAGCAAAACTGCTGGATTGCTTTCTTTTGCAGCTGGGATTGTCTATCACTTGGTATTGCTGTGGTGCCTACCAGCAGGTCTGGGCTTCATGCCTTTAGCACAGCATGGCCAACGTTGGTGTGTATTGCCGTAGACACTAAATGAAGGTGAATATCTATTTACATTCCAAGGAAGATTCATCAGCAAATGACAGGGAGTACATTAAGTTTTTATTTAACAATCTAGATAGCTATGGAGCCTATCCTTGGCCTCTGGGCAAGTTCATCTCACAGACTTAGGATCAACAGAGTGAACTGTGGACAACGTGACGTGTCATTGTGGCCATCGTGCATTACAATGAAAGTCCCGTATTGTCTCTGCTGGGGCTTGAATTCCCTGTCTCTGTTTTCTTTGTGAATTAGAGCCAGACTCCAACCATCCCAGCTCTTGTCAGGGCAGATGACAGTGATGAGGAGGAGTTACCCTGGTGCTGTATCTGCAACGAAGATGCCACTTTGCGCTGCCACGGCTGCGACGGGGACCTCTACTGCCAGCGCTGTTTTCGGTAAGTCTCACAATGCCTCTTGGGCTGAGAGGCAGGTCACAGCTAAGCCTGGCTGCTTTTGTTTGTTCTTCCTGCTGGGCAGAAAAGCAGGCGGTAGGAGGGGAGATTGAAGGAACCCAGATCTGAGCTGAATTCTAGTCATTATGGAAATACTTTGTAAAATCAGTCCTTATCCCAGGTTTTGGCGACTAAGCTGGTCCTAGGCAGAAATATTCTGTCTATACTGCTCCAGTGCATGTTTAGGTGCATTGTCTCCAGAGTTCTCTGGAGCAGCTGATGTGCTGCATTGCGTGGGACGGGATAAGTGACACCATTGTTCAGTGACTCCTATAGCTTGTTAATGACATTCATGGATGATCTGAGCTGGATTCCCATAAGAGGGGAGCTCAGATATTAGAAATTCCTGAGGCTTTTCTATGTTGAGACACTGCAGTCTTAAGCCATATAAAACAATCTTTGTTGAAATACATACGGGCAAACATTTTTTCCTCAGGCCTTACAGCAGCTATAGTATTGGTTCTTATACATGTGTAGTTTGGCTTTTGACCAAACAAATTGCATGTCTCAGATTTGGAGGGTGAATTCCCTTGAATACAAAACTATTCTTCACATCTTGTGTGGCTTCTTTTTTCATGCCTCAAAAGTATTGGGTAGTTGGCTGGGTTCTTGGATTAGTGATTGATGACAGTCAGACAGCAAGATAGTAACAATCTGATCAGGATAATAAGAGATGCTTTTGTGTGTATTCTCTCATTTCCTGCAAATGTTTTTGTAGAGGGATGGAAATGGTAAGAAAACATATGACTGGAAATGTTAGATTATTAAAAACAAAACAACCAAACAAAAGTGTCAGACAGCAAACATCAGTAAAAGCAGAATCAGCAGCCTGGCAGGTGAGCGAGTACATTCATGCTGCAGGTGCATGTGTCTTGCTTAATACCACCTGCTTCTGAGCATGGTTAAGACACCTGCCAATACACTGCATTTTAGCCTCAACAGTTGTGTGGAGCAGACTGTCGTTTTGACTGTTGCTAATGGGCCTGGGAATCACAAAGGTGGTGCTGAGAATGAGCCACCAGTTACGTGCATCTCTCAAGGAGAGAAAGAGACAGAGTGACCTATTGTCATTTCCCATTCCAGCAGGCAAGGATGAGCAGACCTTTCCACAAAGCACCCCAGAGGTTTCTGTTACAAGCAAGTGTCTTAAGTAGTCAGTCCAGCTGGCTGCCAGTCGGGTCCTCACAGCTAACCCTTGGGACAAGTTTCTAGTTCTGGGCTGCACTTCTTGTGCAGTGGCTAAGAGTGAGTTCCCTGCCTGGGTCTTTACTTCTGACTGCACTTTGTGTTTGCTTCTCAGGGAAGGCCATGATGAGTTTGACCTGCAGGACCACCACACCTCCCGCTATCATCTTCCTCGCAAGTAGAGTTGATCGCTCTCTTCACGGGCAGAAAAGGAGACGGAGAACGGGAAAAGAGAAGAGTTGTCCAGATGGGAAGAGTCCAAGTGGATTTGCAGCGAAAACGGGTGATGTTTTGGACAGTTAAAGAATGTGCTGTAATCTGAGAGAGTCTTGGAGGGTGTGTGACTTTGTCCTCAAAAATACAAGCAGAGAAGTGCAGGGTTTGCTGTGCATGCTTGGGGATAAATGAGGACTTCATATGAGGAGGTGGATACAAGTCTATAAATACAGATGGTAAGGCAATGCGGGTAACAGTAAAGATGTGTGTTTAAGGCACTACTGACTGGCTCATAAGTAACTTCCTGCTTTTGCTAACAGCTTGCACACTGGCTCAACAGGCAGCAAAGCACTTTGCACTAAGAAAACTATCTATATTGTGATCACGTGTGTGATGAGAACTTCCAAAGCATAATAAAAACCTATTTACGGAGGCCTGTGGTTAAAATCTCGCCTGGAAATGCCTGACAGCCCTTTACAAAGTGTTGCCTTTTTGCAATGGTATCTTAGTCCTGGTGTCAAGTGGCTTAGGGTAAGAAATGAAGGATCATGAAGGCATCAAAAACGTTTCTATGGTGTGGTTGGAAAAGGTGCAGGGGCTGCTCTGTCTTGATGGGCAGTGTTGCTCATGTACATGAAATAAAGGCTGTTTTGTAAAGGTAATTTGCTACTGATGCACAGCATTGTGGTCTGCAGTGGCTGTGCCCAGGTTCCGTGTGGTCTGTAAGAGCAATACTTTAATCTGGAAGAGTTGTGTATTGGTCTGAAAGTGGGTTTTGGCTCTGTTTATTATTATTTGGTCCCCTGGTAGGATAAAGATGTTACCTGTGTGATTCTCTTTATCTGGCTACGATTCTAAGTTTGGTTTAATATTCTCATAACCCTCCCTGGAGTTAGTCCAGGTGCAAGTGGCACTTGCCAGTGAGCAAAGCACCCAGAAATGATTCAAATACCCAACTAAACATGCCCTAAATTGGCTCTAATGTCCCATGAGGCTGAGCTCTACCCACGACTATAATGTGACTTCGAAGATGGCTCTCTAAGTTTGAAAAATTCCAATGGCAAAAAAAAAATCAAAGCTTTGTCTTTGACAGGGAGTTTCGAATGAATCTTGCCTGTCTGGTTTGAGACTGCCGCTCCCAGCTGTCTGCCCTGCCCCTGTCCTCAAGGTCACCTCCTCTGTAGGTGAGTTGACGAAACAGTGTTTACCTCCATCTCTGCTACCCCTGGTCAGAGCACAGCAGAGAAGTCAAACTGCTGCTGAAGGTGGTTTTGTGCTAACAGGCTGGACTGCATCAGGCCCTTCGACAGAAACCTGTATCAAACAATGTAGGGTAGTAATACAGCAGGTTAACACGCTTAAAAAATTGGAAGTGTATCCAGCAGTGCCATCAAAACCCTTTGTTAGGAAGAGGTGGCAAAACCTGGCTCTTGTGGAGGATCTTCTTTCTCCTGGCAGTCCTTGCTTTAGCAGTGCCCGTCTCTTTGGGAGAGGTTGGCAGGAAAACTACTTGAGTTGTTCTGATGCAAGAGCTCACAATAAGCCCTGTGTTACACAAAAAATTTAAGCAGAGTTCCTGCCCTGAGGAGCTTGCAGTCTTAAAAACAAAATGCTGTTCTGGCTTTGTGTTATTGTAGGAATGACACTGTAGGAATTTCATTGCTATTTGACCTGGATAATTAGTCTGATAGCAAGACAGCCCAATTCTGTCTTAGGTTAAATACTTTTGTGTTTTGCATGTACAGGAGGAGATGCAAATATCTGTTCTTAAATCTCTTCTAAGACTGATCCTTTGGGCTTCAGCTTGTGCCCTTTCCAAGCAGTTAGTAGACATTTTAATTCTTGCTTTATAGCTGCTTTTCTTTTTTTTTTATTTTAAACATCTTAGTATGAGCTGGTGTGTTACTTGCAACAAGTTGAATGCTTCAGCAGCCACAACCCAACTTTGAGCTCCTTGTGGAGTCAGGCAGGCTGTGTCTCCTAAGCCCTTCTCTGTTCACATCAGTAGTAAAGGAGCAGGTTACAGCGGGAAGCAGTTTATTTAGTTTCCCAGATTGGTTTCTGTGGGGTCATCCCAAGGAATCCAGAAATACACCCAACCCAATACCTGAAATAGAACTTACTCATACATGGAAGAGTCTCTTCAGTCAACACACAACACGCTGATGCTTTCCCTGCACCACTAATGGATGTTTTTGTGGCTCCTGAGCTTTCTGCATATAATTGGCCATTTTAGTGGCAGCCCAATCACTTTCCCCTGAAAAAGCTGTTCCCAATGTAGCTGTTGCTTCAGAGACCTCCGTGTAGGAGGGGAGAAGGGGTATCTAGATCAGGTGTCTCTGCAGGAAGCAAACCTAGTTGAATCTGTTGTTGTGAAAGAGGAATGCAGCGTGACCTTTAAGTGGGCAGTGCGCTTTTAGCTGTGTTGCTTACTCCTTTTCCTTGTCTTTGCAAAGGTGCTGGTAAACCAGTAAAGATACTGGTAAACAATCTGTTCCTGACAGGCTGGATCAACTTCAGTCGTAGCCATTCAAGGTTTGAAGAGAGATTGGTGCCTTCAAAAAAGGGAATCAGCTGCTTTGCTTCTGTCTTTGCAGCATGCCATGAGGGCATGAGATTTTCTTTCCCTCTCAAAAAGTTTTGTATGTCAACTATCAAATGTGGGCTTCACCCCAACAAGAATTCAAAATAATAACACAAGATTTAACTCAAGTTAGTTTACAAAGAGAGGTCTCAACTTAGTTAAACTGCATTTGCTGTGATTCACAAGCCTCCACATTGTCTCAAGTGCTGTAACACAATCATGTCCAAACGTAGCAGCCAGAATATTTTTAAAGGCAATGTAAGTGTTGATCATAGCTAAGGGAAAACTGTATTAAAGGTTATTTTATACATCTTCATAAACCTTCAATTAGAAGAGGACATGAGCTTTCATACATCCTGAGTTATCAAGGTATAATAAGAGGGCAAAATTCCTTAAAAGAAACATTCTTACACAGTATCTGTATAAAAACATTACAGCCCTATGCTGGTCATGGTGCTGAGAAACAGCAAAGTTATTGGAAGGTGTTTTAAAAAAAAAAAATATAATCTATTCTTATGGTTTAGGCTGAGAACAGCCAAAAAGTAAATATGAACAAGTATGATTTGCTACTTTTAAGAACTAAACAAAAAGAAGCTGCTCTGATTGTCTTATGTTGCTTTTTCTTTTGCACCAGTGAGCTGAGAAATCATCTAGCACTGGGCCACATCTTGCTTTGTTCCAAATGATCACACTGTGATGATTTGAAGCACTCCCATGAAGTATCGATGTCCTTAAGTATCAGAACCAACTGCACGTCATAGGGGCTGCAGCTTTCTCTCTTTCTGCTGCTCGCAGAATAAACACAAAGACAACTTCTGTCTAGCAGAGTTTCAAGAACCTGTTTTTTCATGGGTTCTAACAATGCCTCAAAGCAGACATTCTCTTTGCATCACCCCGTATTGAAAGAATACAGAACAATTCCCAGGGTGGAGAAAATCTGTCTTGGGCCAGGGGAAAGGCATCTCAGGTCTTTCTGCTGCTGCAGCTGAGCAGAAGCCTCCTGGTAATGTGTATAATTAATCTGGACTCCTATGCACTACTGTTCTGCAGCTAATTACAGCTCTAGTTTAGGACACTCAGTTCATGGTCTGTCCACCTAGATCTTCCACCTGAACTTGTTTGAACCTAGTCTGTGTTTTTAACAGTGCTCAGAGTTCTTTGTCAGTGTGCTCCTCTCCTGTCTCAAGGAATGTGATAGATGAGTCTTAGCAGGTTTCAACCCACGAGCAGTGCCAGATCTACAACCAGTGCAGCTCTGGATTTATTTTTATGTTGTTAAAATTTTACTTACAAAGTTGAGATTTCAGGAGGACAGGCATGTCCTATTGGCCCCTTACTAAGCCAAAAATGGCATGTCCCTCAGGCTACCTTAGATATATATGGATCTGATAAAGAAAGGCCATTTCTCCAGCCTAGTGGGTGAGTTTTAGAGCCTCTTGGAGCACCTTAGGACAAGGTATGAGGTGCATGGCTTGCTAACTTTCAGGATGCAGTGGTGTACAAGAACAGCATGTGAAGGGAAGCAAGCTGTTACATTGCAGTTGTTATGGCAGCTTGGATTTTGTCCACAGCCCACAGCTTGATCAGTGACACTTCTGCTGGAAAACGGGAGGGAAGCAAAAGGTAATAGTTGTCACCCTGTTACTGATAAAGGTGAAAAGATTAATCTATTTAAGATATTGCTGGTCCAGCCCAAGAGTACTTGTTTGTCTTTGCTAGCTAACCTGCATGTCCCTTTTGCTCCAGAGTTGATTCCTTCTGTCCCTTTCTGACAAAACATGTACTCAAAAGCTGACCTTGAACATCCTGGTGCATAGGAGCCCCTCTGGATGTGACTCAGCAACTCACCTCCTGTGTTTGAGCAGCAGGCATGAGAGCGCAGGGGGAGGACATTTGCTGTCTTATTTCCTAGGCACATGTGTCAAGTTACTGACTTGCTGAGAGGCTGGATGTGGTTTCCTCTGTATTTTTCCAGCCCCACGTTAGTTGTAGCCAGAAGAGCTTGTGCAGCAACACAGTGTGTCCTATTTCACTTCTCATTTGTGAGATCTGCCTGTCTGTGAAAGACTCACTCCGAGATGCTCCCTGCAGGGAAATTGGAGCAAGTGTTTTTTCACTTCAGTTTTTCTTTTAGTGCCTAAAAAGAGAGCAAAAGCAAGCAGTGCACAGCTGGTTTTCTCTGTTTTAATATATAAAATAAGCATTATTCCACCATCTTTTTAAATTAGGAGAAAAATGATTCCCAGACCTTGCTCCTTTAGAAGACGCTTCTAATTCATTCAGTCCTAAATTCCACAAAAAGGAGAACCAATCTGTCTATCATTAGCCTTAGCAGCTGTTTCAGTAACTTCCCCTTACTAGACCAGGTACACTCAAACATTTTCCTTCCATCCTACTGCATATTTTCTGTCCAACCTTCATGAATAACAGAGGCTTAATAAGACTTACAAAGTATGTGCAGTGCCTTGGAGTCAGGTACAGCAAGTAACAGGCAGGAGATAGCAGCTGGGTCCCAGCCAGACTGAAACAGAGTGCGGCTTAACAGTACCTGATTTTCCATGTTGATGGATGAGTGATAACCAATGCCTTGTTTTCCTTGCAGTGGATGGAAAGAAAGAAGTCTTGATGAGCTCCTGAGAACTGTATTCAACTCTCCTCAGCCAGCATGGAAATTCTTAGAAGAAACTAAAGGAAGGACATGCTGATCCCCAGGTTAACATGCCCTTTAAGAATCAGGAAAACGTACAATCTATCTCCCTGCTCTGTGCGTAGATCTGGAAGGAGTGGAGACTTCAAACCACTGGTACAAAGTTCACAAACTTGGTGATGTTTCTCAATAACAGTAAGTCCTACACATATTCTGATCCCGGTTTTCGTGGGGAAGAGACACGTTTCCTTGTGACCAAAGCTGGGTGTTTCATGTGGGCAAGGTCATTTCTTCTGAGGATTGGTGACTCTCCGGAGACCTTTCAATCGACTAAGCAATTCCGTAATGAAGTCCTACAATGAGAATTGGTTGAAGAAGGATGTCATGTTAATTCCATACTCACCAGCCCAAAGAGTACTATGGCATTTGCGTTAGTCCCACATTCACCTTCATGTTGAGCAGAAACCAGAATTTTGACATGTATTGAGCAAACCTATCATTTACCTTAGGAAAAGAGACCTTTTGATGGATGAAGAGGTTCTAAAAGCCCATCTGCTTCCCTTTCCCTGTCTCCCTCTGGCGCCACTATGTTTACTTTCTCCCCAGAAGCCAACCTGTCCCTCTTCATCCCAGATACCTGCATTTTCCACTTTGAGATGACCTCAGGAAGCTGTTGTCCTTGGTTAGGTCCCACTGCTTCCTGTTGCCACCATAACCTCCTGCCCACTTCTGCTGCCCTCCCAATCTAGGGCAAAGCAAGCTGTCCCTCTTGTCGAACCTGTCAAGCTCCATGGTGAGGATTGCAAACCATCTCGGAGCTGTGCCAATTCTACAAGGAAGTGGCTGGCAGAGAAGGGGTGGAGCAAAACACATGTAGGACTAATGATAACCTGGAGCAGGGGTTGAGGAGAGGCAGAGCAGATAGATGAGCAGTTAATGGAGATAACCCCCGACTACTTTGCTGACACAGCCAAGGACTATGAACTAAACTTGACCATCTGGTTATTCCAAGCAGAAGTGTGACTACTGCAGACTTTACCCTCTGCATGACAAGTAACATCACCATAAAGGAGTGTGCAGCCTTTCTTCACCCAGAAACAGCTGCACGTCCTTGTAATTAGGCAGGGTCACTGGAAGTATTGCAGCTGGTTACCATTTGTGTTGTGTGGGAGCCCAGCTTCCTCACCTGGGTCATCGGAGGTTACCTGCCACAGCATGCTCTGGAAGCAAATGCCTTGGATCATCCATACCTTTTTCAGTCAGTCCCTTCAGAGGAAACCAGTTTGTTTCCTCTCTCTGTTTTCTGCAAAAAGGCTGCTGTGATCTTTCAAGGGGACTGGATTCAAGATCACCACAGTGAAAATGCATATTTTTGCCAACGGGGCAGCAGAATCTGCTTGGAGTTAGCAAATACTATGCTGTCTGCAATATATATTTTCATGGCTTACAAATCAGTAGAGCAAACTCTTTTCAGTTATCTCTCTGGAAATGTGTTTGTTTCCTCTCTCTGTTTTTTGCAAAAAGGCTGCTGTGATCTTTCAAGGGGACTGGATTCAAGATCACCACAGTGAAAATGCATATTTTTGCCAACGGGGCAGCAGAATCTGCTTGGAGTTAGCAAATACTATGCTGTCTGCAATATATATTTTCATGGCTTACAAATCAGTAGAGCAAACTCTTTTCAGTTATCTCTCTGGAAATGTGGAACATGTTTTTGCCAACGGGGCAGCAGTATCTGCTTGGAGTTGGCAAATACTATGCTGTCTGCAAGATACTTTCATGGCTTACAAATCAGTAGAGCAAGCTCTTTTCAGTTATCTCTCTGGAAATGTGGAGTTCTTTCCCAAGTTTTGAAATTCAGACACTCTGAAAACTATTTCCTTATTGCCAGCCTTGCCTGCTGAACCCCTGCTAGACGACTATCTGCAATGTTTGCTACAGCCAGGTTTAATTTCAATGATAGTTGTGCATCCACCTCATTTTCTGTATGTTCATCACTGTGTGCCTACCTGGCCTCGACAAGACGTGGAGACTGATGAGTGATGTCCCAGCACAATGTTCACCTGCAGCCCCTGTGACTGGAGCAGGGGTGGGGGGCCCCGTTTTGCACAGGTTTTTTGCAGTGCAGTGAAAGCAGTTGCTGTGTGTTGTGTGCACCAGGTACTGGGCTCCGCTCTTTTGGACGTTGTGACAGCTTGTGGGACTTCTTCAACTCTCTGACTCAAAGCCAGTACTTGTAAAGTTCACATGTGAAACTAATTTACGTGGCTGCTGCTCAACAGTTGTCTGCCCAATGCAGTCTGAGGGCTATCCTACGTTCTTGTCACTCAACACTAGAGTATTTTAAGCTAAGAGTGCATTTAGTTACCAGTGGGCAGGATGGTTGTGAGCTGTATCACTGCTTATGGCTTTTCTACACTGAGAAACACATGGCAGCTCAGCCTGCTCATCTCAGGATGTCCAAAACATGGAGTGAACTTTCTTTGGTTGTAGAGCATAATTCCTTATTTGCTTCGCTGCTCTGCCTTCAGCTCACCTGTGTAGATTTGCATGTATTTTCCTAACACAGCAGAGTAAAATGGCAGACACCTCCCATTGGGAATTAAATCTGCAACATCATGTTTGGCACAGTAGTATCTTGGCTATTCAGCCAAGCAGCAGCAGGCACACTTTTAGAGCACAGTATAACATACATGTATTGATGGTGCTTCACTCACCTCTGTTGGGCTGGAGCACTCATGGAGGATTTCCTAAAAACCAAGGAGGAGTCATTTTAGTATTTTATGAGTCGACCCATTCTCCCCTTTCTACAGAAAGGGTAAATAATCTTACTACTTTTGACAGGCTAAAGGCACAAGGAAGCATCTTGCAACACTGTATGGACACATTCTGTACCCCTCACACCACCACTACTCTTTATGAAAGAAGTCCCTTACTTAAAAGTCACCAAGTCCCTCTATCTGACCTGTAGTTTTAACTTCTGTTCTTCATTAGGGACTTCCAGGAGATCTTCAAGATCAATTTGTGGTTCAGGAGCTGCTGCCTCAGTTTCCTCTTTTAGCTAAAAAGAAAAAAAAAAAAAACAAAAACAAAACAGTTGTTAAACCTTCAAACTTCTAAGAATGCTAGAGGCCATCTTTAAAGAACTGAGCAGCTGAGAAGAAACTATTTACAATAAAGCTATGCTGCAAAGTTGAGGTCAAGATATAACTTGTCTCAAAATGAGGTCCTTTTAAAGAAAGCATGGATTCCAGCCCCTCTGTGGTGTCTGCTACAGCCATGCATCCTGATGTACACATTCTTCACCTTGTTCCACCTCAACACTTGATACCACTGCTGAGGGATCATCGTCCATCATGGGAAGACCCTTCCAAGAATATCCAACTGCAATGCAACGTCAGCCAGCCTGGGACAACCCTCATTTATGAAGAGTGTGCACAAGCATTTACTGAACAGAAATCCAGCAGGCTTGGTCTTAGAGACACACAACTAATATAAGAAGATTTTAGGCTTTTAGGGTAAATACATTCACATAGCTGGTATTTATACTAAGGCTTTTTGCAGTAATGGAGAGAAAAACAAGCTTTTGACAGATCTAACAATGTTTTACCAGCTTTCTCCAACACACAAGAGGGATAGAATTGTCTCCTTTAATAGAAAAGAGACCCCAAGCTGTGGTGACTGGAGTGATAATCTTGTAATGCGTGTAAGGGTGTTAGTTGGAAACATTTGTAAACTTGATCACACGCACGTTTTAGCTCCACGCTTCTCTACAAGACTGTAAGGAAAGCAGGCTGTGGCTTCCAATGTATTTGCAAAGTGAATCTTTGACAACAAAACACTAGTGATATTTTAACATAGTAACGAGCAAAATAAGGATACTGAGTAAACAGTGCAGTACCTGATTGCTGGGTAGTTTTTATGGATGTGTATGTAAAACATTAAACAATAAAAGCAATACTTACGGGAAAAAACTGAAACTTGTTCTGAGCAGTCCCTGATACCAAGCCAGAGAGGAAGTAGAAAGCATTTGTTCAGCTCTGTTACACAGCTGACTTGACAATAAGCAATAAGCCAGATTTAAATATATTGTACTGCGACCCACACAGCAGTTCTTCTTAAAAGTAATAGTTTTCATGTGACTGTTCAAACACCAGGTGTTGATCCAGCCTGACTTTGGCTAAGTAGACTGGGAGGGTGAGACAGAGAAGGAACTCCCTATGGCTTTGTGGTCCTAGTATGGATGGTGTTCTGGCTTCTGGGTGCAGGGAATCATCTCGAAAGTTAAAATTGTCTTTTGAGTCTTAGTTTTGTTGCAAAAAGCCTTGTGCAGGTTGTCTGTACCAGGAGGTGATGTTTGAACCAACCTTGCTGGTGTTTGAGTGCTCAGCTCTGTTTATTCTGGCTCTGTCATCGGGGTTTCTGGAAGACTCTGAGGACCATTGCACTGCCAAGGGCAGGTGGAGCGAGGGAAGAAGCTGACAAAGAGACAATTTAATGGAAGTGGATGGATCCAAGGAAGCCCAGACTAGCAGGGCTCACCAAATCATCTTGCCACAATGCAGAGCAGGAGGACCTGCTGGACACCTGGGTGATTACAAGTAATTTACTGGGGCACATGTATTTATTTGAAAAGGTCCCATGTAACCCCCTGTTGTTTATGGTTATTAACAATCTCTGACCTGGCACAGCATCGTATTATGTAGTTCCTGCTAGCAAATCTCTTAGGTTGGCCCAAATAAGCCAGGAAGCTGGGAAACCTGTTGTGCTGGAGAGGTGCTAGCAAAGGCAAGCCGCTGGCAACCTGTTCCTGTAAGGACTTGGCTGAATTTCTCGCTTGTGCCTGCTGGGATTTTATAGGAGGGAAAGAAAAATCCCCTTTGGGCAGTTACTCTGATGACAGTAAACAGCTCCTAATTCTCAGAAAACCAGGAGTGATAACATAACCTGACTTGTTTTTCTGACACCATGACGAGTGTACACCTGTAGGCTGGGGCAAGTATGAGTAGCACATGGGGAGCCTCAACCTGGGTCATGTTACCCAAACCTTCTCTTTAAAACTGCACTAATTCCCCAAAGGGCAAGATGATCTGTTACTTGTTCTCCTTGCTTATCTCTAGCAAATCTCATCAGTCAGGCTAAGGGCCCTCCGAACAGGGGACAGTCCCTTAAGTGCTGATGTGGTTGGGAGGTGACACTGTCACTGCCACTGTTGTGTTGAACAGCCTTCAGGCACCAGGACCACCGCTCTAGCACTCCGCAGACACGCTGAATTTTGCCTGTCTGAGTAGGCCTAGCGATAACATCTGCTCCTCTTTACACTGTATAATGTTTCACAATGCATTACCAAAAGGCCTAAGATGCACCTGAGAATTTATTCCTATCATTTTATAACCTAAAGAAAGCAACTGGAAAATCAGAGTTAAGTCTTGAAGAGATTATAAGCTTTTATCCTTTGTCATTTTTACTCATCAAGCTATAAAATTGAGAATTAAAAACCTTAATTAACAACAGGAGCAACAATGTACTCATTTTCAGAGGAGCCATGCATTTGCAACAGAAGCAGGTGACACTGTCACTGCCACTGTTGTGCTGAACAGCCTTCATTCACCAGGACCACCGCTCTACCACTTCCCAGACACTGAATTTTGCCTGTCTGAGTAGGCCTAGTGATAGTATCTGCTCCTCTCTACACTGTATAATGTTTCACAATGCATTACCAAAAGGCCTAAGATGCACCTGAGAATTTATTCCTATCATTTTATAACCTAAAGAAAGCAACTGGAAAATCAGAGTTAAGTCTTGAAGAGATTATAAGCTTTTATCCTTTGTCATTTTTACTCATCAAGCTATAAAATTGAGAATTAAAAACCTTAATTAACAACAGGAGCAACAATGTACTCATTTTCAGAGGAGCCATGCATTTGCAACAGAAGGATAGACCTTTTTTTTCCCTTGTTTTCTGCTGCATGTTCTTTGCATACGGCATAAATTAAACCAGAAATTGGCTATTTTCCTCTCCCAACATGACATAAGAAGTGTACATTCCCACAAATACCAAACAGGAAACAGTCACACAGAAAATTATTATAATAATGATGACAATAATAATAACAACAGCAACAACAACAGTAATAAAGACAGCCTCAGAGGCAGTTCCTGAAGTTTGGTTCTTCAGCCGTGGAGCTGACACAGTTCCGTGGCTCTCGGGCCCAGAAAATCAGCTGAGCTCTCCTGGGGCAGACAAAAACACCTCTGTACCATAAAAATCTCCTGTCCTGAGCTGTTCTAACATGTCTACTTCCACCGCTGATTGCAGTTTGAGGCTGCTGATGCTCAGAGTGGAAAACTCTAAGCAATCATCAGCTCACAGGGCAGAAAGGGCTTTACAGTTCATTTAGTCCGTCCCCATCCAGGACAGGAAAAAGCTGTTTTACACAATTTGTTAAACCCATCTGTGTCTTCTGTTGAGGATGTGAGTCAAGAAAGCTGTGTTCTCTTACTGCATCAGCCATTGCCCTACAGATGAAAACAGAACCCTCAGTCAAGTGATTTAAATGGCTTTAAGACCATGATGTACAATGTGGGCAAACCCTTTGTCCTTCTCCTGTCCCACACTGCAGAGGAAACATGGAAAAGCACTGTTCCTTCTGAAAGCTCCCAGTCTAAGTGCCATCCACCTAAGCCCAAAACGTGAATAGAAGGGGTACTACCAGCTTAAAACTTCAGCATACCCAGCCGCTGCTTGAACATGACTTGCTGAAATGTCACATCACCCTGAAGACAAAAACATCACGTACCCTGCAACAGCTCAATTAAAGACGGGTACCATTCAGATGCTGGACCTAGGCACTCCGGGACCTTTCCTAGTGGGTCAGCTCTCAGAAAGGCAGGAAGAGCTCCTGGTACAAGGGGAATATCAGGCAAGGAAGACAGCTCTGGGGATTTGTGAAGTTGAAGGCATAAGATCTCTACACACATCATTTCAGCATGTATTTTTTTTTCTTTCTTTCTTTCCCTGCTGCCAGTAGCGTGTCCAGACTCTGCAGCTACGGATACAGCATTATCATCTGGAGTGTCTCACTCAAGTAACAGCAGCAGCCAGACTGGTGTGACCAAAAGGAACACGGATGCACTGGTACTTCTCACCCAGCTCCCTTAGGTACTGCTTGCAGCAAAGCATCTACCACATGGAGCTCAACAACATCTTTTGTACATCTCTCCAAGCCCTGCTACTGGTGCTGAGCAATAGCTGACCCCAGCAGGTACAAGAGCAGGCAGTTTAAAGCTAGCTGGGTTATATCTATCTGCAGACATACCAGTCAGAGAGAATGCTGTAGCAGGTGGCAATTAGATACCCAATGAAGACTGAGGATGAGAAGCTGTTATAGCAGCCTTCCAGTACCTACAGGGAGCTTACAGGAGAGATGGGGAGGGACTCTTTATCAGGGAGTGTAGTGATAGGATGAGGGGGAATGGTTCTAAACCAAAAGAAGGGAGATTTAGATTAGATATTAGGAAGAAATTCTTTGCTGTGAGGGTGGTGAGGCACTGGAACAGGTTGCC